GCAGGGAGCCCGATGCGGGGCTCGATCCCAGGACCCTGGGATCACGACCTGAGCTGAAGGCAGACGCTTAATGACTGAGCCACCCAGGCGCCCCTAAAGATTTTATTTTTAAGTAATCTCTATACCCAACATGGGCTCGAACCTACAACCCCAAGATCAGAGTCACACGCTCTACTGACTGAGCCAGCCAGGCACCCCTCTTTTTCTTACTTTAGATTTTAGACTTCTTTTTGGGTTGACAATCTAGAGTTTTATATGGATTTAATCCAGAAAGCAATAGAGGTCCCCCTTATAGTCATATTTACTTAATTGTGAATTCCAGTTTAATTACCAGAAATATGATTTTAATACAGCCTGGACCTAAAGTAGAAAATTATGTCATTTCCAGCATCTAAGTGGATATTAACTGACACATTGATTAAGATCTTGGTCTTCATATTCTTCAGCCAGAAGCTAGGTTGGATAAAGACTAGGTGGAGTTTCTTCTCTTCTCCATATTGGGCAGGGTGGTTGCTGATGGAACTGTGGAATGATCCAGGAATGAGATGTAGCAGTGGTACCAGTTCTGTGCCCCACTGCTTAGTAAACAAAGATTTCTAAGCACTGGGGACTTATGTTCTCCATGGCTCCATTATCAATTATTTTAAACTACCTAAGTGCAGAGGATTAAATTGTCACAAATGATTAGTGTTCGTATGTCAATTGAATGTTTGTAGTCATGAAGTTGTTCAACTTACAATGCAAAAAAAAAAAAATCACAATGATTCTAGTAATTAGAATCTAGTTGAGACTATTTCTACATTAAGATCATCTATGATGGGATGTTAGGCAACAAAACTTTCAAACTCATTTACTTTTGTTCATTGTCTTTGCTTTTATTTGCAGTTCTGGGAAATGCGAGTGCAAAGTGGGTGTCACCAGCTCTACATGTGATCGATGCCAAGATGGATATTATGACTTTAGTAAGAGTGGCTGCTTGCCCTGCCGATGTAATAATCGGTCTGCCAGTTGTGATGCCCTCACAGGTACGTGCTTTCCTTAACTTTGTCATGTAATTAGTCTTTTGTTCTTTTCACAAATTTCAAAAATCATCTTGGTTGGAGAACTATGGAAGCAAAGAAGACTATATGAACTAAAATTCCAGAAAGGGTAGAACTCTTCCTAAGTAAGTGGATGATCATCAACCATTTTATTTCCAGGGGACATTTGCTGATTCTGGTCATAGGCTAAGGAGCAGATTTAGCCCAAGCAAAGGAATTCTTCTTGAGGAGAGAGATACAAGAAGAGTTTTTGGCAGTTGTTTGGGACTTGTATGATGGATTGGAAGCTAGAAGAGCTCTAAACACAAGGCCAGTTTTCTCACAGGACATTAGCTGATTGTGCAAGAGATGAGAGGCTGGCCCAATAGGCATAAAGAAGTCTCTCAGTCTTGTGGTGCTTGGGAGACAAAATCCCTTTTGAAAGGGGCTCTGCTACCATATACCACCATCTCTCTCTCAAGACATTGCCAGGTTCTGAAGTGTGTGGAGTGGGACCTGGGCTGAAACCACCAAAGGGCAGTACTGAGTCTGTTGTAGTCTTTCAGGGCTGAGGAGACTCAGGGATGCTAGGCTCTTAATCAAAAGCATTAGAGGGCCATGACGAGGAAATAGTGATGAACCATAGGTGAACTGATTCATACTAAAAGTGCAGTCCATCGCCAACCCATCTCAATTTCAAATTGGATAGAGGCGATTCTCTCATTATACCTGCCTAACAGAGAAAAGAGGAGTCATCTGTGGTTCTTTTATACATTGCATCTGGCATGCAATCAAAAATACCAGACAATGCTGAGGAGGGGAAATGTGACCAATAATAAAGAGAAAAAAGAAACAATGGAAGCAGACCCACAGATGATCCAGATGTTAGAGTTAGCAAATGATGCCTTTAAAATAACTAAAATTAGTGCTTTAAGAAAATAGAGGAAAACCCAGAAAACAGGTAAAAAGGCAAATTTCAAGAGAATTGGAATCTGTAAAAAAATCAAAAGGTCAGTCTAGAACTGAAAAATACAGCATCTGAAATGAATAACTCATTGCATGGGTTTCACAAAAGATTATTCACAGTGAAGATAAGATGAGTAGACTTGAATACAGCTCAGTTAAAAATATCCAACTGAAGCACAGAGGGAAAAAAATGCAATGGAAAGAACAGAGCAGGAAAGACATGTAGGACACAGCCAAAAAGACTAACATAAATGTAATTGGAGACTCAGAAAGAAAGGAGAGAGAGATTGGGGCAGAAGCAAAATTTGAAGAGATAATGGCCAAGAATTTTCCAAACTAGTGAAAGACATCAGCCCACCGATTCCAAAAGCTCAGCAAACCCCAGGCAGTATAAAACAAAGAAGACCATATCGAGACAAACTATTAAAAGCTAAAGACAATGAACTCTTCCGATGGTCAGTTTTCCTAAATGTAAGGATTAGAAATCCTTCCTTGGAAATCTTTTTTTCCCCAACAGAAAAGTCAGGACAAACTAGTCTGACAAGTACAAGTGTTTTTATGAGAGCAGGGTAGCAGAGTACTTGAAATTGAAGGTACTCTGGACAGTATTTGAAATTCTTCATTTTACTCCTCTAGTCCATGGTGAAAAAAATTGATTTAGGAGAAATCGTGTTAATTTTTTCTGTTATGTGATCAGGTCCGTGGCTACTTACCGGTTCTCTCTTGTGCTATTTTTTTTCTCCACTGCCTGTGATCCAGTGATACTAGCTTCTAGCCGTAAAACAAGCTATCTTTCCTTGTCCTAAGGTTTACATACATGATCTTTCCTCTGCCTAGAATGGTCTTTCTAATATCCACTATCCCACCGCTAGCCCCTTTACCTTATTAAATCATTATTTTTCCTTCAGGCCTTCAATTAAAGTTTACTACATTGGAAAGCAGTTCCTGATACTCCAGGCTGAATGACAATTCCCAATTATGCACTGTCATACGCGCTTGTATTTTTTGTCACAGTACCTACCATAGTTTATAATTATGTATTTATTTATGATTATGAGTCATGTGTGGCTTACTCACTATATTGTAAGTTCCATGAGAACAGGGGCAATATCAGTTTTGTTCATCATTGTACACAATCTCTAGTACGGAGCTTGGCACACAGTCAGTACTCACTAAATGTCTGTTAGGTAAATGAACAAATGAATGAAAAAACACACAGAGGAAAGATAAATTTCAATCCTGGTTAAGGACAGGAATGCTTCATCATACTGAGTTGATTTACATTTCTCCCCAGGTCTTGTACAGTAAGAAAGCGGTCCACACTGCTGGCTCTCACTGTCAGTTGTCCTTGCAGCAAGGAAGTAGATGTCTTTAACGTCAAGTAAATCCCAACCTGTCCTTGCTCGAGATAATTTAAGGCAAAAGATATCCTTTCCATGGTTACGACTTCTAAAAGCAGCTAGTAATAAGAGAAATAGATGGTTTCTCTGTTTGGAAATATAATAAAAGTGGAATTCAACATGAAGGGATGCAAGCACTTGATTGAAACCTGCAAGCTTAATATATAATCAGCCTTTCCTTTTGTCTCAAAGATTTTTTTTCAACAGCGCTGTGATACGGCTGCCCTCTGGTGGCCACTTACTATGTTTTCACGGTCCCTACGTTTCCCCTTTCTGTAAGTCTTTTTCTAGACTTTGTGATTTAGATGAAACAGATTTTAAAGTAACCTTTTTGTGATAAAATATATTGGGGAAAAACATTTTGGAAAACAGTTTCACAATGTGTATCGGAGTCTTCAGAATACCTCCTTGATCCAGTAATTCTGTTTCCAGAAATCTATTCTGAGGAAATAATTCTAAATTCATAAAAAGCTTTGTGTTCAAAGAGGCTTACTAAAGTGGTAGTTATAATTCTAAAAAATTAGATAACCCTATTTCTATCCACAGAGAATGAAGCCAATTATGTTACCTACATAGTATGTGGTTAAGAGCACGGCAAGTGCAATCTTGACTTGACTTTGGCCAAATTATGTAGCCTGTTTCTTCGCCTAGAAATGCAGATAATAACAGTAACTGTCTAATGGGTTGTTGTAATGATTCAGTGCAATATATTTATAAAGCCTTTAATACAGTGCCTGGCTCATTATGTGTAATCAATAAACAGCCACTATTAAACTGTCATTAAAAATTTTTAAAGAGTGGTATATATAACAACATAAGAGAGTGAAAAAAGCAGGGCGTGAAATGACATGGCCATATATTTAGACTATTTGAAAAGCAAAACTTACACTTATATACATAAGGAAAGTTTTCAAGGAAAAGTATTCAAAATCTTAGTGACAGATTTCTTACGGTAATTTTTTTTCTTCTACTTTCCCATATTTTCTAGATTTTATTTATTGAGTATATATTTACTTTAAAATGGAGGTGGGAAGACTATTATTTTTTCAAACTAGAACTTTATGTTCACATGGTGTACTTCTTTTTTTTTTTTTTTTTTTTAGAAGATTTATTTATTTTTGCTTCTCTTGGGGCACCTGGGTGGCTCAGTTGGTTAAGCGTCACACTCTTGGTTTCAGTTCAGCTTATGATTTTAAGATCCTGGGATCGAGCCCTGTGTCATGCTCCACACTCAGTGGGGAATCTGTTTGAGGATTCTTTCCCTCTCCCTCTGCACCTCCCCCCCACCGTGTACATGCTCTCTCTCTCTCTTTCTAAAATAAATAAATCTTACATGTTTGTCTTCTTCATTTGTACTGTCCCCTAAGTGATCTTATTCAGTCCCCTGGATTTAATTTAAAATGCCATCTACGTCTGGACTAACTACCAGATTTACATTTCTCCCTTGATCCTCACACTCAAAGATCCAATAGTCCATTGGACATCTTCGTCTGAACACCTCAACTGGCATCAGAACCCTAAGACATCCAAAACAACTCTTTACCCTGTAAGCCAAGCCTGCCTTACTCCTAGGGTTCTTCATTTTGGTGACTGACACCATTCAGCCAGTTGCTCAGTCCAAATGCCTAGGAGTCATATCTGGTTCCTTTCTTTTCCTCACTGCAAATAGCCAGTCCATCAGCAAGTTCTATCAGCCCAGCATTCGAAATACACCGTGAATCTGACCACTGTTTATGACCTTTGTTACTGTCATCCTTGTCCAAGCCCGTCATCTCTATGAACTACTGTGATACTCTCTGATCTCCTTTTACCTCCTCTCGTCCTCTCACCCCAGAGCCCCACCCCACCACAGTCCAGTCTCCACAGAACAATCAGAGTGATCTTTTTATTTTTTTTTTTTAAAGATTTTATTTATTTGCCAGAGAGAGACACAGCGAGAGAGGGAGCACAAGCAGGGGGAGTGGGAGAGGGGGAAGCAGGCTTCTTGAGGAGCAGGGAGCCCGATGCGGGGCTCGATCCCAGGACCCTGGGATCATGACCCGAGCCGAAGGCAGACGCCTAACGACTGAGCCACCCAGGCGCCCCAGAGTGATCTTTTTAAAATGTAAAACCACATCATGTCATTCCCATGCTTAAACCCTCGGATGGCTTCCCATCCCTCTTGGAATAAGATTCAGACTTCTTTCTATAGCCTGCATGACTTTACATTTTGTGGCGCCTGCCTTTCTCTCTGACCTTATCTTCTGTTACTCTCCCTTGTTCACTTAGGCTTGGCTTGCTTTCTTTTTGACAGGTTAAAGTTTGCCTTCTGCCCTGTAGGGAGGATCAGGCATTTCTTCCCACAACAAAACACATTGCTGTATTTCTGACAGGTTTATATATAAACTATGAAATGGCAAAATAAATAAGGACAAGGCTTTTTACAGGTGGCGATTTATGTTTTCAAAGCGTTGTCATTGAATTTGGTTGGAAAGGAGCCCGGCATTCTTTTCTTTGACTGGTTGCTTTCTTGGTTACTCCTACCAGATTGGTTTGCCGCCTAGCCAGCGAGCATGATGAGATCATCTTCAGGAAACACTCATTCCTTTTTTTTTTTTTTTTTCCAATTGGTAATCTGCTCCTTTGGCCATCTTTCAGCAAAGAGAATGTGAATTTCAAGACAGTATTGTTGTATTTTGGGAGGTTCCAGGCAGAGTATAATAAAGTTAAACTTTAGCTAATTTATACATACCTCTTATCATAAAAGAGAGACCCCGAACTTTTAGATTTTAATGGGAATTTAGATTTCATCTAGTGCAGCTTTCTTAATTAATAGATGAGGAAATTAAAACATAAAGAGAAAACATTTGTCTTATGGAATAGTTTTTCGCCCTTTGAAATATTCACGTTACATTAAATTATTAGCCCAAGAATTATTGCACTTTACAGATTAGAAAAGTGAGAGCCAGAGAAGTTATTTCCCAAAGGTCCCATCACTGGTAAGTGATCTGCTGGGAGTGGGACTCAGATCCGACATTAAATACTGTACCAGTTTTCTTATGCTCTCTTGCCTCCCAGAGAGGAGCTATAAGCTGTTAGAAAGGTAAATCCACACCATCAGTTCCTACTGGATGTGGATTTGAAAGGTTATGATCTTTATTGTTATTATAAAAACATTTCCTCCAAGTTTCTCATGAAATGTTTTAAACTTGCTTGAGTTCTTAAAACATTTTTATAATACACATGCAATAGAGTTTATAATGTATTAGCTTTGTAATCAGGAAAAAAATCAAGACAATAAAAAAAGGATACATGCATACCAGAGACGCGTGAAAAGTAGAGGGGAGAAACCAGAAGGACTGTTGCCCGCACAGCTACTGTTAGCACTCTGCTGTGTTTATGTCTGTCTGTCTGTAATTTATGAATTTTCTTTCTCAGTGGCTGTGTTCCAGGTGCATGCTATTTTTGAAGCAGTGTAGAGTAATGAGTCTTATTATTAGACTTGTTTTCATCTTCCCTTTTGAGTAAAGTTTTCATCTTTCCTTTTGAGAAAACATATTTACCACACAGGGTTATTTTTTTCTCATTGACTTCTCATTGTAGGGTATGGCATAAAACAAATGGAAATAGATTCTCCTGAAAAAAAGTGTTTATTATAAATTTTATAATTTCTTAGAAAAATTTATATTCTAATATAAATGGTTTAATAGAACAGAATGATATTGTGATAAGCACCAAGGCTTGATATCTTATCTAAAATAGTAAAAAGCCCCCAAACAATAAGCATGTAAGCCCAATAGCATTGTAGAAGCACAATATTGACTGTATATATATTTATCATTTTTAAATAAGAATAGCAATATGACCTGTTCTTGCCACATTAGTCACATGCAAATGGCATGTTCTTGGAACACATCTTTCCCCGAACATCCTTATTCTGTTAGAGGACTATTAACATTTTTGAGATATTTTGAAAGTTCAGGACTTTATCAGAACTTGTTTTCTTAAAAATTATTTCCATTGCATATTTTTCCCAGGGGGTGAGCAGGTGGCCAGATTTTACGCATAATGCAGGTTTTGATTTTTCCAAACTGCAGAACACTTTAACATTTAAGATTATCTTATTTGTTGGGGCCCCTGGGTAGCTCAGTCGGTTAAGTGTCCAACTCTTGATTTTGGCACAAGTCATGATCTCAGGGTTGTGAGATCGAGCCCTGCATTAGGCTCCTTGCTGGGCATGGAGCCTGTTTTAGATTCTCTCTCTCTCTCCCCCCCCACCCCCCCAAACAAACAACAAAAGATTATCTTATTTGTAGAGCCAGAATCCGCAGTTTGCAGTTTCTTAGTATGTATTTTTTAGCTCTTTTTATTGTCACAAAGATACATAGCTAAAGAGGCATCAGAATATAAAAAGATCTGGAAAGATATCAGTACCTAATGTGTTTATCATTGTATGAGGATATACTACTACTTTGTTACATATGTGAAAAGTATCATTAACACTAACAGGCCTTAAAAAGTTCTATGATTGGGGCGCCTGGCTGGCTCAGTCAGTAGAGCGTGTGACTCTCGATCTTGGGGTCATGAGTTCAAGCCCCATGTTGGGTATAGAGATTACTTAGAAATAAAATCTTTAAAAAAACTATATGATTGAAAGCGACATTTGCATGTGAGTTTGATTTAGTTCAAAGTTAAGTGTTCAGGTAATACATTTTTGAACCTGTCTTTCCCCGTCAGTTCATGAAGTTTGGGAGAATTCTGTTGTAATTACTTAAGAACTGAGGTGTGCCATGTGTGTTAATAACACTGTCGTTATTTGGTTTTTCAGATTTTGCCCCAGTTGTCAGACCATTTTATTTCACAGCCTCAGTCTCTCTCCCCTTTTTCTCAAATATTTCACTCATAAGGAAAAGAAATCAAATACGACTGTTTATGAATAGTTTCAGCATTGAATGGTGTTTCGCTTATCCTGTAAACTTTCATTGTCTTAGGTTTCTGTGTCACGTTTTCTCCCTTATTGCTGTAAGAGCAGTTTGAAGAGTCCCTGTGCGTCTCTATGGCCCCGTAAAGAAGGGCTGTTAATTACACTGCACTTTTTCATTTTCTGTTTTCAGACACTATGCTGCTTCAGTGCCTGCACGATATCTTTACTAATAGGTACCACAGGAGCAGTACTACAAAACACATCCTTTGCTCTCCTTCCTTTTCATTTCTCTACTAATTGTTTTTATTTTTAAGTGCTTATTTGTTTATTTTTTTAGTAATCTCCACACCCAACATGGGGCTCAAATTCACAACCCAGAGATCAAGAGTCACATGTTCTACTGACTGAGCCAGCCAGGCGCTCCTATTAATTAATTGCTTTTACTTTTATCTCGAATTTTTTTAATATGAAAATGTATGGAGAATAATATAACGCATACTCATGTACCTACACCTAGAATTAATAAATATTAATGTTTTGGTATTTTGCCTAATATTTATACATATTATACATAGTTATATATTTGAAATAGAAAATTTCAAATACAGTTGGAGTCCTCTTTTTTTTCCCTAGTCTCGTTTTTCTCCTTCCCTCCACAAAGATAAGCAGAGCATAAAATTTTCCTATGCCCCCTCAGTCCATATTTGATTTTTATTGCGTATCATATGTATGTACCCATTTGCTTAGTGTATTCTGTATCCATTTGCTTAGTATTGTTTAGGATGGTTTTTAAAATTTTACAAGGTAGGGGCGCCTGGGTAGCTCAGTTGGTTAAGTGACTGCCTTCAGCTCAGGTCATGATCCCAGGGTCCTGGGATTGAGCCCCGCATTGGGCTCCCTGCTCGGGGGTGGGGAAGCCTGCTTCTCCCTCTCCCACTCCCCCTGCTTGTGTTCCCTCTCTCGCTGTCTCTCTCTCTCTGTCAATTAAATAAATAAATAAATAAAATCTTTAAAAAAAAATAAAATTTTACAAGATAAGTAAGTACTCTCCATCTGTTTTGTATCATTCTGCAATTTGCTTTTTTTCAATCAACATTGTTTTCAAGATTTATGCATGTTCATACATATAGGTCTAGTTCACTTTTTTGAAAGTTTTTTTTTTTTTTTTTATTCATGAGAGACAGAGCGAGAGAGAAAGGCAGAGGGAGAAGCAAGCTCCCAAGGAGCAGGGAGCCCGATGCGGGACTCGATCCCAGGACCCTGAGATCATGACCTGAGCTGAAGGCAGACGCTTAACCATCTGAGCCACCCAGGCGCCCTCTAGTTCACTTTTTTAACTATAGTAGCCCAACTATGAAAATAGTATATAATTTATTCTTTCTTAAGAAGGTCTTTAGATTGTTTTTATTTTTAATTTGAAAATAGTTGGCCTGCTTTCTGTATGTAGTCAACCATCACCTGGGCTTATTGCTACTCTACTCATGTACGCAGCCTTTCCCCAGAGTTTACAATCTAGAAGGGGACATGGACCTCACAGACGTGGCCAATGTAGAGATAAGATGGGGTAGAAACTGAACTCTATCTAATTCCTGTCGGACCACTTCTTCTGGTGAACTTGTAAAGTCTTTTGTTTGCATGTATGATTTGTTTAACGGTATTGTGCTTTCAGAGTAAATCTTGAACTTCTTTAAAAAATTTGCTTCTTTTAGGTGCTTGTTTAAACTGCCAGGAAAATAGCAAAGGGGATCACTGTGAAGAATGCAAAGAAGGATTTTATCAGAGTCCTGGTGCCACGAAGGAATGTCTTCGCTGCCCATGTTCAGCAGTGACATCAACAGGCAGCTGTGTCATAGGTAAGGCCTTCCTCTAATTCTTCACTTTGAGAGAAAACACCAGGCAATCAGCTATCAATTGTTATCAAGTGCGTTGATAAATGAAGTTCTGGGCCAAGAGGAGAGTGGAGTGAGTAGGTGAAAGGGAGTTATAAAAACAGCAAAGGTTTTTCTTTCTACAGATTTGCAACCAGATCCAAATACATAGATGAAATGAGACTCGAGGGAGAGATGAGGAAGTTTTTGTTAAAATCTTATTTATTCCATCTGTCACGACTAAAGAAGCAATAAAATAAAAAAGTTATGAGTGCCTCGTCATTACAATTATTCATATTCCTTGAGTAAGCGTATTTCTTTTGTTCCCCACCTGCAGAGATTCTCTGGAGGGCCCCATCATTTTTACAATTAACTGGACAATTAAGAATTAAGAAATAAGGTCTAGATCATTAGTCTCTTTAAGTTTGAGAAGAGATAGTAGGGAGGGTTTAAAAACCAGTTTGACGACTAGTAGTTGGTTTGCATTTTTCACTGTAGCTTGAGGCTGTACTGAGTCTCTTTTGTGTTTTCTCCCTTTTAGAATTGGGTGAATTGGAACCTAGGTGTGTCCAGTGTAAAGAGGGTTACACGGGCCGGAACTGCAACACGTGTGAAAATGGCTATTACAATTCTGACAGCATCTGCACCAAGTGCCAATGCCATGGCCACGTGGACCCAATTACAGCTCCAAAGATCTGCAAGCCCGAGAGTGGCGAATGCATCAGCTGCCTCCATAACACGACTGGGTTTTGGTGTGAGAACTGCCTAGAAGGCTTTGTCCGAGACCTCGAGGGAAATTGCATCAAGAAAGGTAACACTTCACCTACGGTGGTACATTTAATATCTAAGCCTAGCAGTGAAACATTCAGAACAGCCACCTTTAGCTTTATAAAACCTTCTGATCCCACCAGAGGAGTTTTCTGGAAATAGGTTTTGATAGATATTTGCCTAAAGGGATCTCCTTCTATTCCTCCTGCTCTCCTGCTGCTCCAGAGTCAACTCCAGAAATCTGAGGCCCACGACAAAGTCATTGCAGGCTTCCCACATTTTCTCTTCATCTATTTTCATTTTTATGTTAATGATTTAAAAGTCCTATCATTTCTTTTATCCTTTGCTTCCTATATTCTCATCACTTCCAGTGACCATCAAAGGTCGTTGGAAGTAGGGTCCTGTAATCTGGTTGGAAGTTCCAGCTGAGAAACAAGAGTCCACCGTGGCATCTGTCCTAACTTCCGGCCAGAGTTTTCCCATGTGGGATGGAGGAAAGAGTAATGATATTCCTTTTGACTTCTAAAAGAAAAAGTTACTCATATGGGCAAAATGTTTCTTGCAGGAAAGGTCAGTAAAGGTTTAGATAAAAATTAATGATTAGAAATTCAGGATGAGTTAGGGATATTCAGGCTTTATTGGGTCACAGAGTGATTAGACCATCCTCTTCTAGAAACCACTCTTTGATATTCTGACAGATGCTGAATACTGGACTGATGGTCTATGGCAAGTGTCGTCCCTCTGCCATTTTCTTGATATCCTTATTCTCTTGTGATCGAGGCTAGAAGACGACACTGAACCCTGTCACTAGCCTGGAGATCCTGTCACTTCCCTTTTCCGTTTGGAGGCATGCTTCGTCCATGCTTAGCTGACAGGATTGTGGTGATTTTTCTTATTAGTTACTAGGTAATGTAAAACATGCCTCTTTTGGGGATAGATTAATGTGTCTGGCTGTGGTGACGAATTAGAATGACAACAACAGAAGCCATTTTACCAAGTGCCTACGATGGGCCACGCCGTGGGAACATTACATGCGGTAATGTTCCATTGCGCATTATCTCAGCTAACCCTCCCCAGAAACTCCACAAAGTACGTATTACCATTCCCATTTTACAGATGGGGAGCCTCAGTGTTAACAAGATTCACTTACTTATCTATAGCCACACAGGTTGGTATTTCTACTCAGCTGTGCTCCATTAGCACTTTAATTATGAAATCATCTGTGATATATACAAAGGAAGAATTACTACACATATGATTAAAGGAAGGCTGTGTTTTCTCTTGGCTGACATCAACTTTGGATATTTAAATTGTGTTTTTCAGAAGTAACTAGAAATACAATTTTCCTTATTCTGTTTTTGCCTCCTTTGAAGAGAATTTCACCCTTATGAAATGCCATCAGACATGTTGAACTGATTTTAGTTCAAATGATTTCCTTTTTATCCCTGTTACTTTTAACCAAGTGATTCAGGACTCAGTGTGACATATTTACTGCCTTTGCAGGAAGATGTATGAATCTATCCCAGAGTCAAGAAGGATAGGAAACTCCAACATTAGAATGTTCCCAAAGATTTTAATATTATACATTTGGGAGAACAGCCATGGATGTAATAATCTAGCTTTCTAGACCTTGATCCTTTTCACTATATTTCTTTAAAAATTATTTTTAACTTGCATTACCTTAAAGCAGAATATCATGTCAACATCCCATATCAACTTCCACTCCCATGTGTATTTCTTTTATTGTTTCTTAAAACTAGATAATTTTGTCTTTTACATTTCATTCTCTGTTTTTATTTTCAGAAGTTATTGTTCCAACACCTGAAGGTTCTACCATTTTGGTTTCCAATGCCTCTTTGACCACATCAGTGCCCACCCCTGTTATAAATAGTACATTTACCCCCACAATCCTGCAGACTATCTTTTCAGTAAGCTCTGCTGAAAACAGCACTTCAGCATTAGCTGATGTTTCGTGGACCCAGTTTAACATCATCATTTTGACAGTCATCATCATTGTGGTGGTGCTGCTGATGGGATTTGTGGGGGCTGTCTATATGTACCGGGAGTACCAAAACCGGAAACTCAATGCCCCCTTTTGGACCATCGAGCTGAAAGAAGACAATATCAGTTTCAGCAGCTACCATGACAGCATTCCCAATGCAGATGTGTCAGGACTCTTGGAAGATGATGGTAATGAAGTAGCTCCCAACGGGCAACTGACCCTGACAACACCCATACATAACTACAAAGCCTAAGGAGCTAGACCTGTTGTCTGGATTGTTAGACCACAGTGCTCACTAAGACCACATCATCTCCTGGGCCAGATGAAGCCTGGGTAGTTTGCTGAGAAAGCAAAGGCGTAGAGTGCACCTGAAATTTTTAGGTACAAATTTGTAATGCACTTAGCCCATTACTCTTAGTTTCCCCCATGAAGATCTGAAACAGTCGCTGTCAATAAGGACTTGTGGTAAAGTATATTTTTGTACCAAACTACATGGGAGTATAGAAAGGCTGAACCCTGCAGTGCAGCCCACATCTACTCTGACCTCCAAACAGATTCCTGGGGAAGTGTTCACCAAACCAGCGGAAACAAGATGGAAGTGGAGGGGGAAGGACTGCTGGAAGACTTTTCATCTCCATTCCTGAGACACCTTGTTTAAAAGGAGAGTCAGGGATGATATTCCTTTTACTGTGCTAAAAGGCATCACCGAAGAAAGCTTAACGTCTGGGCTGTATCACAATAAACTCGACTGTTTTTGAAAAGGGGCAGAAAAGTGTCAAGAAGATCTTTAGAAAAGCTTGGTTTTTCCTTCCCAAATTCTTGCTCAATGATAGGATCAAAGCACAGAATAAGCTTCTAATGGTAGAAAGAGGAAGGCAACATCTGGGAGCAGGAAGCTGATGGTCCTCCTTAGGGTCTCAGTGTAAATGGTACATTGTCTAAAAATAAGGCCTCTTCCTGCCTCTAGAGAAATAAGGTGTATATAGTTAATGTAGCATATCTGGTCAACATTGTATTTGTATCTATTTGTAAAAAAAAATCATGTCATATTTTATCATCTAGAATTTATTTGTACAGCAGTTAATGGTGTTGTAAAAAGAAAATACGGGGATTGGTTAAAATAGAGTAACATAGATGGCAATATTGCTAGAGCTGGGACTCTGGTGACCATCAGTCATTTTTAGTCCCTCTTTGGACACTGTTGAAATTTATAAGAGGTTGAATGTTTCTAACCTTTCTTTCCCTTTCTCAGTCTCAAAATAGAGTTATATGTTCTCTGACTTACTGTAGATTCAAGCAATAGATTTTTAAGCAATTGATCGTTAAGCTGGGATAGAGGCTGGGCTCTCCAAAGCACTTCCCTGATTAGACGTTAGCCGGTCTACATATTTTACATAGATTAATGTACAACGTATCCTCACAAAAAAAAAAAAAAAGTCTCTAAATGTAGAAGATAGTCTTCCAAAGGAATGAGAAATATTTTAGTTCCAAAAGAAAAGCCATCGTATCACTTGGGATCCCCTGTTTTCATGCCGTGAAATATTTATATTCTTCCTCCATCCCCCTCCAAAAAAACACCTTCTACATTTGAACATAGCTTATCATCCAGACTCCACGAGGTGTATACCATCTTCCTGCAGAGCCACAGTTCTGCCGTCTTCTTGTCCGGTTAGAGGGTAGCTCTGGAGGTGGGTGGGTACAGTTAGTCCTTGCTTACAGACACAGATTTTCCCTAGAGGCCACATACTGTTGCTCTCATCTGTTACGATATTGACAGATTGTGGGTTAAGCAAGCCAGGAAAAGCAGCCAGAAGTCAAATATAGATATTTATTAGGAGGAATGGCAAACTGTCAAGTGGTTAGAAAAAAAAAGCAAGGATTTATTAGATCAGACCTAGGATATCCAAGTTGACAGCCTTGCCTAACTTCCCCCAAGAAAAACCTGGAATTTGGTCATCCCTCTGTAGGAGACCCCTCAGTCTTCTCAGGTTTTAGAGATGATGTTCTGGAGGATGGACAGACAAATACCTACTTCTGGTAACCTGGGGTGCTCCGAATATTTGGCCGTTGCTCATGAGAATGGAGGTTACGTGGCATTACATTATATTAAAATCAGTGAATATGGCTATAGCCCTTTGCAGTTCACAGAGCACCTTTCCATATATGTGTCCTCTGTTCCTCATCATAGCCCTCTGAAGAAGTAATTATTGTCCCCATTTTATAGATGAGGTTAAATGTCTTGTTCAAGGCTATACAGTGTGTCATTATTAGGCTTGGAATCAGGCCTCCTAATTGAAGCACACGTTCTCTCAACTGTATGTTAATGCGGAAACTGCCTAGCCCCAGACAAAGAAGGCTGGGAGGAAGAGTCCTGTCTGGGACTGTTTCTAACTTCTGTAAGTACAAGGTACAGTCCAGGACCATACAGCTGGGAAGGAGTTTGTGGAAAGGACATAGGAGGATTACTATCTGAAGCTAGCATTGGTGATAAGACGACAAAACCACCAATTTGTGCTTCATTAACGTGAACGAATCCTCCCAAGCGGGGAGGGAAAATGTGCTTTCCCCACAGCTGCCGCCTTTGCCCGTACAGACCGAACACTGCACAGTTCCAAGGAAGTGTGCAAACTGACAGACCTGCCTTTCTCCCAGATTGCCAGCCCTTCAACGTGACGGATTGAAGGTGGTGAAGAAGAAACATTCGTTAAGTAGAAGTTAACCCAATAGAGAAAGCACGAGTGTTTGTCGGGGTCTAAGAGCCAAAGCCAAATCGTCCAGATTCTGGCCATATAGAGACTTTTTGAAACAGACCTTAAGAGATATTGCAGACATTGTATCACAAGGAACGTTAACCTCTAAGCACCGACTAACAGCTCCTAGGTCATGTTCTTAATTCTTCCCAGTGGAAAAAAAAATTAAGGTCTTGGAATTTGTTTTAAACAATATTCTTCAATGCCCCCTGCTTTTTGCTGGGGGAGATAATTTTGCTCTAGGATTTAAATCAATCATGAAGTGATCTACCAGCAAAATCAGACTAGGAAACTAGAGGGAATATGCATTACACAATATTCATTCCTCTGAAGGCAGGATCCCTATGAACCATGGCGTTCAGCACTGGGATCCCATCAGTCCTTCAGAAAGATAATATTGGAGGAATTTCTAAATAAGGATTAGAAATGTGTTTATTTTCAAATAAGGCTAGTGTGAATCTTACTGATAAATGACAGATACTGCTATTAAGTGATAATTGTATCTTCATTCATTCATTTTCATAAGCCCTGATGCATTTCTGACAGATGCCCTAGGTACTGTTGTTAACTATGTCTGTCCTCCCTTACTTTCCCCTCCTTCCCTGCACCGTCAAGCTCCCAGATGTCTCTTATTAATGGAATTTCTCCAGGTATAGGGAAAAATGGTAATAAAAACTAAAGCTCACTTATACTAAGGTCCTATGGATTTGATGTGTTACTACTCTGAGGGGTACCTGCATTTTAAGAGAGAACAGAGCAGATGTGGGATGGGAGGAGAGAGATCTGGGGGGAGAGGATTTGTACAGTGTCAGATTATATGGCTACTCTCTAGCCCTAACGTCCCCCAGAAAACTGGTCATTAAAGCAATACTCACTGCCCTGCTAGTTCATTTTGGTCAGCGAGTGCCTTCCGGACATTTAGCCCTTCTCGTGCTGTTTTGGAGGCAGAGAGCTAAAGCAATAGTACGTCTTCCTAAGAGCCTCAGTTGGGATGGGGTTATTAGATCATTCACCGTGGTCCTCTGTTTTCTGTAGGACACACGGTGAACGTAACAGCACTTGTGATGAACATTCCCTGGTTCTTATACTTTGAGGTATGTGGATAGGAGTTGAAGATATGCATCTCAAGGAAAGCTCTCCAACAAAAAGTTCAGAGAAGTAAAATCGACCCAGTGTAACCTGTTAGAGCAAGGAAAGCATTTCTGGCCTTATGATCCATTATGATCTTCTTGGACAGTAGGGGGTTTGAGAACTAACAGGAGTTTGGTGTGTGCAGGTGAGTGACAGAAGGTTAGTGGCAATTTTCCTCTTTAACCCTGAGCCAGTGACTATGCCAAGGGAAAAAGCGGGAAGAACACACTGGTTCAAGACGTCAAAAACGTCAAATGGACTGAAGGTTATGGATCGTTAAAATGGCAGTGGTTGAATGATGTTTTTTCAAAGGCAGATGGGAGCCTCCCTTACGTGTTACTTCTGCATATGCAATCACTGCAGCCGGGGCGACAACGTGAGCCACGGTAGCCCAGAGCCAAATGATCTGCAGCTGAGTTCTCACGCTAGGCCCAAGCACTCTGTCCTGCATTACCTGTCAGCCCAAGTGACTAGGGAATGTTTCTGAAACATTAAACTCGTCTGTATGTCACTAAAATTCTAACACAAATTTTAAAAACGTGTCTCCTATATATGCTGTACTAGGCTTCATGATGCATTTCTAAATTTGTGTATGATTTGAATATATGAAAAGAATTTATACAAGAGTGTTATTTAAAATTATTAAAAAAATAAATGTATATAATTTGTACCTATTGTAGATTTGTTGTTTTACTTTTTTTATGTGGTCAGATTTGTTGGAAGTCTTTTAATATATGTCACAGAGCATTTATTTTCAAACCACTTCATGAAAATCTTTGAACCCTTCACTTATTGACCATGCTTTTTGTTTTAACTTCTTTTATTTTTTTATTTTTTTTTAAAGATTTTATTTATTTATCTGAGAGAGAGAATGAGAGAGAGAGCATGAGAGGGGGGTGGGTCAGAGGGAGAAGCAGTCTCCCCGCTGAGCAGGCAGCCCGATGCGGGACTCGATCCTGGGACCCCAGGATCACGACCTGAGCCAAAGGCAGTCACTTAACCAACTGAGCCACCCAGGCGCCCCTTAACTTCTTTTAAATAATGTTTTTCCACTTAGGAAAAAATGCCATAAGATTCCCCCTCTTAGAACAAAACAAAACACCCTGGGGTGGGGGGAGCATTTATTAACATATAACCTTGTTTGTGCTTTTGCCTGTCCCCTATGAGATTCATTGGGATTTCCATGAAAATTTTAAAGAAAAAATTTTTCCTCTTGAATTTCTTTTTCATACATATAAAAAATTTTCTTTCTTCAGTATAAATCTGAAGGGAACAATGTTCTATGTGTTTATTAGACAACCTGCAACGAGTGTACATCTTTTTATTATTTTGAGGTACCCTTGAAGATCCTGTATTTTGACAAAGCTCAGTGGTGTTTAATGGGATACCATCTAGAAATCCAAGGGGTATTTTGAAAAAAAAGAAAAAGTAAGTCAGGCTTTCCTTTGTGCTGCGAGCTTTATAAACTTCAGTTGGTTTATTCAACTTCAGTCGGTTGATATTTAAACTTCAAAACCCTGTTTTTCCTTTCTTTTTTTGTCACACAAGAAAATAAGTCATATTACTCTATAATCCCACCTTATATTTTTTTTTTAAAGATTTTACTTATTTGACAGAGAGAGAGACAGCTAGAGTAGGAACACAAGCAGCGGGAGTGGGAGAGGGAGAGCAGGCTTCCCGCCGAGGAGGGAGCCCGATGTGGGACTCGATCCCAGGACCCTGGGATCATGACCTGAGCCGAAGGCAGA